TTTATAGGGTATATATTGGGGTTATATAGGGATAATGGAAAAGAAAATGGAAGCCACTATAATGGGTTTTATAGGGTATATATTGGGGTTATATAGGGATAATGGAAAAGAAAATGGAAGCTACTATATCAGGCATTTGCAGGGGTCTGCCCTACCTTCCTTTTGAATTTGCGGCTGGCCCTCTGACATCACTTATCGTCATGGAGGGATTTCCTAGAGCATTTGCCAAGATCCACACGGAGGCCGGCCAAGGCCTCGGCTACCCCTATCCGCTGCTCGAATCCCTTTCCTTTGCTTGAAACTCAAGTGCACGCCATCTGAGAATTCTGGCTGCGGCGGCGTGGCGAGGGTTGAACAGCAGGATTGGGGAGAAAAAATATCAGAAAGCCTCCCTTGCTAGGGAGGTTTCTGTGCTAGGAACCCTAAACCCTAACTGAGAATAGTTAGGGTGGTTGGGATGGGACCTCTGGCTACGCGAGCGCGCAAAGAGTGGGTGCGCTCGTAGACTCCTAGCTCTATAATCTTAAAGCGCACCCACCGGGCGCTCACACTGATACACACCCTAAACCACAAACCCTAAACCCCAAGCCCTAACTCTAAACCCCTAAACCCCAAAACCTAAACCGCAGAGCCCAGGCATCTGACGGAGAGGGCCACAGCATGACGATGTGAACATTGGATTGCCGTCTGCAGCCTCGCGCAAAAGTAGAGAGGCAGTTTGGGTTTATGGAATTTAGGTTTTGAGGTGTTTTTGGTTTGGGGTTAAGGGTTTAGGGAATTTAGGGCTTGAGGTTTAGGGTTTAGGGGGGGCTGAAATCCATTTGACTAAAGGAATATACCTTGGGTACTGGCCCCACCCTACCGAAGAGTTTGTACTAGCGCCTAAGCTTAGGGGCTACATACAGCTAGAACTGTTTATTGCTGTCACTGGGTGAGGACTGTGGCAAAACTAAATCCTCAACAATGTTAGGGACCTCGATGCTGTGTAACTTGCATTCCTAACTGGGTTCGGCAGTGAAGGATTATCCCAATGCCCAAGATCTAAACCTTGAAGCTTGAATGAGAAGGTCGTGAATCAATGGATCTAAAACCTCCACTTCTTTACAACCTGACGCGCAACCATTTTCTCGACTCCATTCTATTCATTAACACAAGCCCCTTACCATCACCTGAAAAAGCCGAAATCGATCCCACAAATTAATGAAGTTACTCGGTCGACGATTATAGGGGTGTGTTACGAAAAACGGGTTGGTCAGAAAAGAGGGTTACCTCAACCCCAGAATAAGAACCTTTTGACTATATCCCAAAAATTAGAACATGCTGGGGATCCAAGTGGTACAAGGATTTGCTGCTGGGTCATATGCGCCCTAGATTTGGCCATTGCCCCCAGTTCAGTAAGAATTCTGCATGAGCAACGTGTTGAGTTACAATCCGGCCTCTACGGGACTTTTGCTTGGTGTCTTAGGCTGCAAATAAACCCCTAAACCCCTAACCCCCTAACCCCTCAACCCCTCAAACCCTGGGCACGGCCAAAGGATTGTATGCAGACCGGGGCACGGCTTCGCTCCACTCCACTATGATGCAGTTCCGCCGGCCAAGTAGCTTATACTTTTAGATTCTCAAAGGGTGAAAGGAACCCAACAATGAATTTCAAAGAGTACTTACCCAGCTACTACTTGAAAATGCGGCATACACCCCAAAGCTTGTCTTGTGCAAGGTAAGGTTTCTAAATATTCCTGGCCTTCAAATTGACAGTGCAACGTACATGATGCTTAGCACGCTCACCGATAGCCCACTAATCAAGCCCTGAGTACAGCCATCAGCAGCATGAGTACAACCTTCTTTCCTATGACATCTGTGGGCATTGTAGGCAAACACCCGCGTATACCCTCTTAATGCCTTCAACGAACTTCTCTGCAAGAGATTGTGGCAACTTGCAGATCCTTTGGTGCTGCCAGGTAGAAAGACTGGCGTATGCAACGGGGATCCTAGCTCCAGAAATTATCCGGTGAAGCTGCAGCTTCGTCAGAACAGCGGATCTCTGTCAAGACCGTCTCCTTTGTGCAATACCTCGGGACTCTCCCTCAGAATGGAATCTCACACGTGGTTTGGTGTCTGTCTGCACTTGTGAAGAATGCCGAACCCCAACATGCCTCACGCATACACATCTCTGTCCCGCTTATGTAACCCCTCCAGAATACGAATGACTTGTCACATCATCAATTATGAAACCTAAATCCAGTCTACCTCGAAGGCACGGATCTTGAGATCGGCGGTGCCTGGGATGCAGGAGGATGTCTTACTCAGGCACAGCGTATTTCAACGAGAAGGGGTCCCTGTGTGGAAGAACCTTCGAATCCTAAACCCAAAGCCCTGATCTTGAATACAGAGTCCATGTGCACAAGTGACTCCATCGCACCTCATATACCCTCAACCCTCAACAGCTAAGCCCCTTTGATTCCAACATATGGAATGGGCCTTGCCCCGAATAGTAACTGAAGGCGCTTTGGGCGGAGATCGTGACATCTTGTCGCACAGCTCCTTGTAGATGTCACCCGCCAAGGCAAGGTGTGTTGGTCCATCCTAAAGCTACGAGAAGCCAAATGCACAAGCCGATAAAGTACCAGCAGCAGCAGCACCACCACCACCACCACCAGCACCACCAGCACCAGCAGCAGCAGCAGCAGCAGCAGCACCAGCACCAGCACCAGCACCAGCACCAGCACCACCACCACCACCACCAACAATAAACCCTAAACCCCTGGGGCTCTG